TTCAATTCTCAGCACTCACATGGCTCCTAACCCCTTCCCCCAACGGCAGAGATGTCTCTAAGAGCAGAAGTGGTCAGGGGAACCTTGGGCCAAAACAGCGCCTATCACGCCCAAACCCAGGGAAGAAACAAGTTACACTCCTATCCCACCCTCAGCCAGCAAAACACACTGGTGGGAAGATGGCTCAGTGCTTAAGAGAACTGGCTGTTCTTCCAGGACCCAGGTTCAATGTCCTGCACCCACATGGCAGCTCTCAATCATCGGCAACTCCAGTCCCAGGGAATCTGATGCCTTCTTCTGGCCTCCATGAACTCTGCATGCGCAGATATACATCTTGGCAAGACCCCTATCCACCCAAAATAAAAATAAATACAATCTCAAAAACCAGTATGTAAAAAGAGTGGGCAATCCCTGAGGAACAGCACTCAAGGTTGTCCTGTTTCATACTTGTGTATGGACAGACATGCATGCACACACTCACACAGAGGACACACTGCACGGGAGAACCAGACAGAAGCCTAGACTCTGAGAGGAAGCTGTGAGTGAGGGGAGCGTTCCTGACCAGGCACTAGGAAAAGTTACTCTCCTTCATGGAGTCAACCTCCCAGGAGGGAGAGAGACTGCCTAGACTAGGAGAGAGAGAATTACATTAAGGGCACTAAGAAGATACCAGGGTTTACATTTGCAGAAAGGAGGCAATCCCACCAGCCTCACAGCCCACTTGGGTGTGACAGGTTGGTGCACAGCTTTACTCAACCCATACCCGCCTGGCGGGCACCTTTCATTCCAGGTGTCAGGTGAGAAGCCTGGGTCTTTCCATCTTCCTCCCTGACACTCTTCCACCTATACGCCCTCTGTCTCTCTGAATCCAATCACTTCTCACTGTCTCCCCACAGTACATAACCATGCTTTGACCTACCCAGCACCTCAGCACTACCCACCCACACCCATTCTCAAACAGCAATGGCTAAACTAAGTGCCCTTGTTACGAGTGGACTCAGGGCTAGGAGGGTAGCTCTGTAGTGGAACACGTGCTTAACATGCCAAAGCCATAGGTTCAATCCCCAGCATGAAAACTAAAGATAAACCCATCCATATTCTGTGTTATGGAATGAACTGCTTCACTCTCCCAACCAAATCCATACACCAAGATCCTAACCCATACATACAATGTGCTTAAATTCAGAGGGAAAGCTTTTAGTTGATAATTAAGGTTAAATGGGGTCTCATCATAAGGGAGATTAACCTAATAAGATTATAAGAAAAGGCTGTCATGTAACTTAGAGGTACAGTGCACACAGGCCTGGGTTCAGTTCTTAGCATTGGAGTGGGAGGAAGAGAGAGAAGACATTGAGAAAAGGTCATGTAAGCACTCAATGAGAAAGTGACTGCCTATAGACAGACAGACAGCACTCAGCCACAACCCTGACCGTGGACCTCCTGGACTCCAGAACTGTGAGAAATAAACCCTTCCAAACTAAGGCATTTTGTGACAGCAGTGTGAGCACAAGCTCACAGCCTCGTTGTCCTTTCCGCTCCCAGCCCCACACTGCCCCATTCCTCACACCTTGTAAGGTTCTTTGGAAATCCTATTTTCTGCCTCCCCCACAAGAGAGTGCCATACTCAGAAACCTAAGTACCATGAAACTATCCATTTGGACAGAAAAATGGATCTACAGCATCTGACCACTAAGAGTCTTGCCCTCAAACAACCTATTAAATATAAGTGACTGAAAGCCCATTTACCTGGGGATCAACTAAAGGGAAACTTAGAGGGGAGAGTCCTTTAAGCCTAGAACTTTGAGGCCAGCCTGGGCAACCCAGCAAGATTCAACATCAAGATAAATAGTGAAAGCCCTTGAAAGGTACAAGCTGAAAGCAGGCCTTAATTATCAAGTAGCCAACAACCTAGAACCTGCGACAGGATGGAAATAGCAAAGCCAGGACAATGAGAAAAATACCAGAGATTGCACAAAAGGCTTCTTTAAACCTAGAGGCAGTAATACAGACTTAACCAGGAGCAAGAATGACAGAATTAAATGAAACCCAGACACCACCCCTCCCACACACCTTCTGAGCAGAGAATCAGTGGAGCAGCAGGGTAAAAAAAAAAATTAATGAGGGACCAAGAACTCTGGGAAGTAAGACCTGTTGGGGGAAGGCTTTGGTGGCACTTGCCTTTAATCCTAGTACTCAAGGCAGAGGCCAGCCTGGGCTACACAGTGAGTTCCAGGACAGCCAAGGCTACAGAGAGAAACCCTGTCTTAAAAAACATGAAGCGTGAAAGTAAGTAAAATAAGGTTTTCAAAGCTTACACTTACATGCTCAAAGTGACATATGAAGACAAATTGCTAGTGGTGACTTAATTTCCTTAACCAAAATGAAAAAACTCCTTAAACTACCAGTGGGATCAAATCCAGAACCCCAGATGGAGCCCAGGATTCTTTAGTAACACAAAAAAAGAGCGTGACAACAGCTGACTCAGTACATCCCATAACCAATAAACTAAACCTTAAACCTCTTTCGTACATTGGTTTAATTCAGGAATGCTTTGTTCAGTAGCAGCTGGCAACTAATTAATGGAAGTATGGGTGAGTGGATTGGGGACAGGCTACACAAGCTTACCCTTGGGACAAAAGTTTATTTCCGGGCTGGAGAAATGGCTCAGCGGTAAAGAGCTGTGGCTGTTCTTCCAAAGGTCCTGAGTTCAATTCCCAGCAACCACATACTGGCTCATAACTCATCTAAAGTGAGATCTGGTGCCCTCTTCTGGTGTGCATGTACACATGCAGGCAGAACACTGCATATGTGTATATATATATATAAAGGCTTATTCCTAAAATGTTTGTTTGTGGTTTTGTTGTTGTTGTTTGATTGTTTTTGTTTTTCTGAGACAGGGTTTCTCATGGAACTTACTATGTAGACCAGGTGGCCTCTGCCTCCCTGAGCACTGGGATTAAAGGTGTGCACCACCATCAACCAGCACTTATTCCTAAAATGTTAAGTCTACTAGACTGCTCTACAAATGAGGCAGGCAACATGGCATAAAAACTACCTAAACAATCCACTAATCAAGGTTTTTTTTTTTCCTTTTTGAGATTGTATTTCTCCTTTCCCTTTCCTCCCTCCCAACCCTCCCATATATCCCTCCCTGATTTCCTTCAAATCAATGGCTTCTTTTCTCACTAGTTATGGCGCGCGCGCGCGCGCGCACACACGCACACACGCGCGCACACACGCACACACACGCACACACACGCGCACACACACACACACACACACACACGTTCCTACATGCAACCTGTTCAGTTACTTGTGTCTTTTCAGGTCTGGCCCTTGGTCCTGGACAACTAACCAGTACTTCCCTGGGGAAGCCTGCCTCCCCACTCCCAGCTTTCCTCACTGCCTATAGTACTTTGTGTAGGTTGAGGCCTTGTGTGCTTTTCCCCATCCACTCTGGCGTGTCCGTTGGTGTCCTCCTTTTCAGCTCACACTTGAACAGTCATATTGGTTCAAAATACTTTTTTTTTAAAGATTTATTTATTTATTACATATAGTGTCTGCCTGCAGGCCAGCAGAGGGCACCAGAGCTCATTATAGATGGTTTGTGAGCCACCATGTGGTTGTTGGGAATTGAACTCAGGACCTCTGGAAGAGCAGCCAGTGCTCTTAACCTCTGAGCAAATCATCTCTCCAACCCCATCAAGTACTTTTTTTTAATGTGGGTGATATCCCTGAACGGATGCCTGTGCATGTGTGTGCAATGTTCATACCAGAGGCCAGAAGAGGGCACTAGATCCCCTGGGACTGTCGTTAAAGATGATTGTGAGACACGTGGGTTCTGGGACTCAAACTCAGATCCTGTAAAAAAGAGCAGTGTTCTTACCTGCTGTGCCATCTCTCCAGCCCTCTAGTTAACTACTTCCATAAGCATTTTTGTTTTAACTTTCTTGCTGGACATGGTGGAAGACACCTTTAGTCCCTGCACTGGGATGTGGCAATCTCTATGAGTTCCAGGCCAGTTGAGGCTACACAGCAAGATCTTGTCTCAAAATAAGCAAATAAGTCAATAACTACATGCTCTGCGTTGTTCTACGAGGCTAGGTCTGGCCCTTCACTGTTGCAGGCTTGGACCTCGCCGGCTTCCCATCTCCACCAGCTTGGCTGAGCTGCTGAGATTACATGCACATGCACATCACACGCCCAGCTTAATCGTTTTAAGTAGAGGGTTAATCTCAGCATAATGTGCCTCAGTCAGAAAACTAAGAACGAGACAACTGTCTGGAACAAGGAGGGGTCACACTTTAATCTGGGACTTAGAAGCTCTTAGGTGAGTTTGAGGCCAGCCTGGACCAAGTTTCAGGTCAGCTAGGCCAAAAAGAAAAAGAACACAAAAAAAAAAAAAAAAAAAAACGCCACTACAAGCACCCACTTTCTTTCGTTCTTTCTTTTTTTTTTTTTTTTTTTTTTGGGGGGGGGGTGGTGAGACAGGGTTTCTCTCTGTAGCTCTGGCTGTCCTGGAACTCACTTGGTATACCAGGCTGGCCTTGAACTCAAGAGATCCACCTGCCTCTGCCTCCAGAGTGCAGACACTGCCAGGAAAGCAACTACTCCCTTAACAAAAAATGACCTCCCTGAATAAGAAAAAGGGGGGTGGGGGTTGGAAGGCCCTGGTATAAAATGAAAGAACCAGTTAACAGTTAAGCAAAGGCTACTGTCTAGAAGGCAGACACCTCACATCTCAGTGTCTCGTGTCTCCTTGTAACTAGCAGGTGTGTCATGAGGGCTAACCCACCACTCAGCCTCAAGTGCCCAAAGCTATTAACTTCTGAATGAGTTAAGCGTAAAGAGTTCTGCATTCCAAAGTGACCCTGATAAGTCAACTATAACCCAGTACAGAATCATGAACTTCTGAGAGGTAAAGGCCTCTCATAAACTTCACCTGAGTCAACACCTTAAAGGAACAGGCCGGCAAAGTCACACGTTAAGATGAGAGGCAGATGCACAGAAATGGAACAGGTGAGGCCCGAGCCCAAGAGCACTCAGATACAAAACAGAGAGAGGTTTCAGCCACCTTGGTTCTAGTCTAGCCTTTAGAAAAGAGGAAACTGCCTGAGGGAAGTCACATGGCCAGTTAATGACAGCTCAAGCCAGGTTGTCTCAGGACTCACTCGGCTCACAGATCCTCACACTCTGGCCGCCTTCGCCTGGAGGACCCAAACGTCAAAAGAGATAGCATCTTCCTCGTCCGTCTCCCAGCGCTGCCAAAATCAGACTAACAACTACTGCCAATGCCACAGCCCCAGGAAGCCCTCAAAAAGGTAACTTTCTTCCCGCGGCACTTGCCCTCACTTACCCTTGGCGCTGACAACCAGCAGTTCCCCATCAGACCCGCTTGAAGACCCTCAATCCTGAATGAAGGCCGAGTTCCCACAGGCTACCCCTCTAACGGGACGTCTCCGGCCAAACGGCGGAGACAATTCTTCACCTTCAAGTTATCACTCCAATGTCAGTTTCTCCGTCAAGAGCGAAGGCGACGGGGCGACCCGGGCCCCCTGGGGGGCAGGCCAGCGGGCAAGGTCGCGGGGCTGGAGCCGCGGCATCTAAAATTACTCGGTGTCGCCTCCGCGGAGGGGAAAGGACGCCAGCCTGGAAACCGCACCACCATCCCCCGCCCCTCGGAATGACCCCGAGTCCCCGGGCGCGGGGATGCGGGACGCGGCACCTGGGGAGGGGCGCGCGGCA